TGCTTTCACCCCCAAGGATTGCTCTACAACGAAAAAATGTACCCTTGTTTTGTTTTTAATCAATAAATATCTAGAGGTCGCTCAAAGCACTCAAATATTCCCAGGTATTTTATATGAAAAAAAGTTTTTTTTATCTTATTAGAGATCTAGAAAATCTATATTTTCCAATCGGCAAACTTTAACTGAGACTTCCAGGAATAATACACAATATTTTCTAATATCTTATTACATTAAACGAGCAATTCTTCTATATATATATGTATATATATATCCATACGGTTCTCGAAAACGGCTCTAACGATTTTGATGAAATTTTGTACACAGATAATGTTTTGGATTTTAAGGCTATCTAAATAGGCATTACCTCCGAGAAGACTCGCATAAGGTTGCCACCTGTTCGAAATTAGCTACAAATTAATTAAAACATCATAATATGGGTACCAAATGGAATGTGTTTTAAAGATCCCTAATTGAAAAAAATAATTTTAATATGGTTGCCACCTATTTTGAACCGCATATTTATTAAATTTTTTGTTTAGAAAAAAAGGTAAATGTTTTCCTATATTCAAAATGTTATCCCTTAGAATAATAGTGTCTAATAGTCTAGAACATCACAATATGGATATAAAATGAATGGTATAGTTGAGAGCTTTGTTCAGAAAATATTTTCCATCAGGACTGCCACGCTTCTATATTATGCAAATTTTTATTTTGTTAATTACAATCAGCATTTTTTATTTAAACACAGTACATATAGGCTCAAGATAGGTACCATTCATCACAGCGGATTTCGGAATAGGGTTGCCATTTAAATTTTGGGGTAAGAAATTTATTTAATAGTTATCGAAATCGAATTTTTTTTTTACAAAATATTTTTTTTAAGCTATCCAAAGCTCGGTCAACCTGGTACTTGACTATTTTATATGCGTCCGCTAAAATACGCTATTGGGTATTATACTCTGAAATCTCATAAATCGTCCCCATGGCCAAATTTGAGCCCTTTGAGCGGTCTCTAACTATTTTTTTTTTATTTGAGAAAAAATACAGGAGTATTTTTTTCGAAATAGAACAATCCTAGGGGTTGAGAACATTAAAATTCAGTCGTTAACTTTTTTGTTTCAAATGTATTTTTGGACCACCTTAATGTATATGCAATATAAACGCTTGGTATTTATAAACTTGCGCACATTTATCTGCACATTTATCTATCATATATGTACAAATGTATATCAGCCATGTGCTTTCATATCTAGCCTTTGTTGAAAACGCAGAAAATTCGCACTTTACGTACCATGAACAATGTCGAACAGAATATGTATGTATGTATGTATGTACATAGGTATGTGCAAGAGTATATAAAGAGGAAAATTTATTTGCGACTTAAAAAGCCAATCAACTTTTGAAGTACTTTTAATCGCTGCTGCGCGAAAGGCGAACAAATGGCGTATAATTTGTCATACATTAAATGCATATCGCACACGTTATACAAAAGCGTAGCAATTCGAAAATTGTCACTTTTGAGATTACGTGCTTGAAATGTATGTATCTAGATACTTGCCGCTAACAGCTGATGGTGTAGTATTTTTTTTTTTTGCAGAAACCAGTAATTTTCCCTTTGCCATGCTATTAACACTACTAGCTCAGCAATAGTTTTTGCGTTTTCTGACAAACGGAAAATTGTGAGTTACTGCAATTTTAAAAACCGTGTGCGATATGTAGCTTTAAAAATGCATATGATATGTACGTACATAAGTTTGTGAACTTTGGCACTAAGAAAGTTTCAGCGCAAACCACTCAAAAAAGGGTTTTAAGAAAATCCGACTTTGCAATTTGTGCTTTACAGCGCAATTCTGCCACTATCTTTCAACTCACCACAGTGTTTCGAAAGACAAAAGGCTTTCGTAAGACAATTGTCAATTCTGGCAACTATGTATCTTGAAAGCTCTTTACTGTCTTTGAAAGACTAGTTAAACGATTTGCTAACGAGGAGGCCTTGGCATTATGCTGTTCGCCTTTTATTAATAATTTTTTTTTTTGTTTATTTAATTAAAGAAAGAAAAAAATTTGCATATATATTTTTTTAAATAAGAAAAAGTAGTAAATAAAATTAAAAAAAAAAAACAAAATGAAAATAAGCAAAAAATATTTTTTAAAATTACATGAAATTAAAATAAATATTTTATTATTCTTAAAACAATAAAATCCAAAAACTAAAACAGAAAAAAATTGTGTCAGAAAAGAAAAACGTAGTACTTTATAAATAAAAAGAAACGATTTTTTTTATTTTTTAAATAAAATCTAAAAATTATAATAAACCTAAATAAAAAAAAGACAAAAATAAGATCCTAAAAATTAATTGAAATAAAAAATTAATTTTTCATTTTGAAACAATTAAATCTAAAAATTTATACAAAAAGAAATCCGAAAAAGGAAAACAAATTAAATAAAAAAATAAATAAAAACGAAATGCAATGAAAAGTATGTTTTTAAACAATAAATTCTGAAAACTTAAAGAAAATTCAACAAAGGCAATTTAAAAAAGCAAAAAATAACATAAGTTCATAAAAATTAACTGAAATTACAAAAAATTATTCTTCGTTTTAAAACAATAACCTCTAAACATGTAAAGAAAATTAAATTAAGAAAAAAAATTTACTTAAAAAACAAAAAAAATGCATAAAATAAGTTTCTAAAAACTAAATTAAATAAAAAGTATACATTTTTCTTTCTAAACCCATAACATCTAAAAATTGAAAATAAATTGGATTAAAAAAGAAAAAAACTTAAAAAGAGAAGAAAATTAAATTAATTTAGAAAGGCAAAAAGTACAATAAGTCCCCAAAAATTAAATGAAAAAAATACTCTTCTCTTTAAAACAATAACCCCTAAATAGGAAAATAAAATTAAATTGAGAAAATGAAAAATTAATAGGCCTTCAAGCGAGCTTTAATTTCACATTTTGTTAATGTCCCCAGATTCTACGTCCGAGACTTCTCTTTCGCTGGAGGAATCTAAAATTATTTCTAGCTTGCTTACAAGGCTTTTAGCAGTACTTGGTTTGAAATTTACTATGTGTATAATTTCACTTCTAGCTCGTCGATATACTTAGCAAAAATGTTTTCAACTAATGTACGGAAACAAATGGGTTTTTTAATTGCAGCCGGTTGTTAATAATAAAAATCCGAAGAAACGGGAGCAAGCCAAATTGAATACAAATAAAATTAAGGTGAGTACGCTTCCATCATTAAATATTCGTATCAGCTCTGACCCGTTTATTAAGTGATTGTATCTATGAACTTATGTATGTGTCAACAGTTATATGCACATACGACATGCAATGCAAATATACAGTAATTCACAAAAAATAGAAACTTTCACACAAACGTACTTTTACGAAGCGAAACCAATAGGAACCAATTGTTGTCGGCGAAATTTTGAATTTGCGTTACACTAACACGCTACTAACTCGTTACAGTTGAATGAACTCACATCGAGTACTCGTATGCAAGTAGATATGTATGTCTGTACATATTAGCATCTTAATGCTATACAAACAAACGCGTGCAGTTGTTTAAATATATTTTGTATCTAAAGGGTTATCCATTTCATGGTCTCGAAATTTCAGGTCCTTATTTTGCTAGCCGTTTACCTTAGTTCAGTCAATACCTGGCAGTTTCGAAAATGAATCGAATAATTAAACGAACACTGCAATGGACACTCCGCAGGGAGGTGTGTTATCAACTATTTTGGGAATCTCTGTAAGGAGGAATCCTTGTCGACAATTAGTGAGCAGATGGAATCGGTACTTGGGTACTTGAATATTTTATCCCAGGAAAATGCTCAGGAATTATCCTTTAAAGAAAGACCTATATGTACTTGAAGAAGGGCCTTCGGGAAAAACTATACATCGTCGCCGAACGTCATTCCATGTAAACCTTAGTCGTCAGGCCGATTATAGCTCATGATGCTATAGGCTGGAAACCTCGGGCTGCAGATTTATTTTTCATTTATTTTCTTCTTTAAACAGATCTTTTTTTTATTTTATAAATTTATTTGTTTTGGTTGCATTATATTTTCTTCTAGTTTTAAAATTTCACTAAAAAGAAAAATATGTGTTGAATTTAACCCTTTCCGTGCCGAAAAAATTTTACGGTAAGCTAAAATCTAAAAATTTTTATATCAGGAAAAGTCAACCCCCTGAAGCTGAGAAAAATATTTTTTTTTGTGGAAAGTTTATCGTTCCAAAGTTATAGCTTGCCGGATATATATTTAACAGGGCACCTCAAAATTTGAAAAAAAAAATTGTTAAAACCATAAATAAAGATTAAAAACTACTAAGTAAAATTTAGATTTATTTTCGTATGGTTTCAGTGAAATATAAACAAAAAACAGTGGTTTTGATTTTAAAAAGTTATTCTGGTTATCACATTTATTTATTCTGTGGTATAGGCAAAACATTAAAACTTGAAAAAAAAACTATAAAAACAAATTTTGTTGCAACTAATTTCTAGAATGCTACTAATTAGACAGCTTTCCAATGAAAATAGGACAAATTCAAAATGAAAAAGATGAAACGGCAGTTAATCAGTCGCATTTTAGTAGCAGCCATATGAAATGTCGTTTATATTACACAAATCAACGGAAAGGGTTAATTTAATTTTTGGAAACTTATTTTATTTAATTTAGTTATATTTTTTTAATTAGATTTTCTTTTGAGTTTTAGATGTTGGATATTGTTTTAAGAAGAAAAATATTTATATTTTTTTAATTTAATTTAATTTGTAGAAACTGTTTTCTTGTTTTTTAATGTGCTACTGAATACTAATTTTGCTTACAAGCTAATAAAGAGTATTGCCACTTAAGAATTCCTTACAAAATGTAGTAAAATGTATAGCCCTTTATTATTTAAGTACGTACTTAGCAGAAGTCAATAGTAAAGTGCAAAGTAAATAAATAAATAAACAGAACAAATTTAAAAAACGTACCTTGGAAAGTCTTACCCACGGCGAGTGCGAATTCGCATACAACGGGAATGGTAATGTTTTTATATTTTCTTTCTTTGATGGGTTTTTTTTTTCACCGCTTGACCTTCTTACTTTGCGCTACAACAACATGTTGCACACACCTTTCATTTATAAATCTATGTATTTGTATTATTGCTGTACATATTTGATTTCTAAGCACCAATAGAAAATTGAGAGAAAACGAAAGAAAATTGCCTGCACTTGCAACTTGCAGCTTTGCCACACAAACACAAACACACACTCACGCTCACGTCTATGCCAACTGAATGAAATGTTGCCGCGACTTGTTGCATTGACCGACGAAAGCTAACTGAAAACACAAACCGTCAAAATACCAACAAGCGATTTAAGTGCGGCATAAAATTTGAAATGAAAAGACGCAAAAAAAAAAATCGGAATGAAATATTTTAATGCGACCAACTGGTGGGNGGGGGGGGGGGGGGGGGGGGTAAACGGTGATGATGGTGATATGGCGATGGAAGTGTGGTTGTGGTGAGACACGCTCAAAGAAATCGTAGAGAAGCAAAAGAAAGCGTAATGCTTGAAATACAATACCGGCGAACGGCAAACTTCGCCGAATTGGGCGATGCTGTCGTTCACCGTTCGCCCAACTATTTCGCCTACTTAAACAGAATTAGAGCGGTAGCGAAAACAGCTGATCCCATTTGGTCGCCTTTATAATTTGGGTGACCATATTTGGAAAAAACTAAACCCTATTTAGAAATGAGGAAATGATAATAAATATAAATGTAAAACAACTTTCTTCGCATTTCGCTTTGGCTGTGTTCAATTTCATATGCTTGCGGGTGTTCTAATTTTGACAGCGCGAATTTCGCTGTGGTGAGTTCGCCGTTCGCCGGCATTGTATTTCAGCTATAAAGGAATCATTCTTGCATGGCAAGTCATTCCGGTGGATATGTATGTACATATGCATGTATTAGTAAGTACACATGTATGTTTGTGCGTGCAGTTCCCAGTAGCGATAAAAGGTCGATTTTTGAAGCAGAGAAGTGAATCGGGAAGACAGAGGAATATTAAACTGGGTGCGCATTCATGAGTATAGGCCTGTATGCAGCTCTCAAGAAAAGCAAAGACTCCATATAAAATGACGTACAAGAAATGGCTAAGAAATTTTCTTGAGTCAAATTTCCTTAAGGCAGTGCGCAGTTCTTCAGAAATTTAGTACGCTTTCTACTACGGTTTTCTAGAGTTTTTTTGAAAAAAGACCACAAGGCAACCCAGGTTTGCAACAGAAATATATGCCTGTTCCATTATTTCTTGAGGAAAGAGTGAGGCAACAGGCAGTGCGTTATCAAAAATGTCAAAATTCCTTGGACACACACGCGAAATAATGGCAATTTTTTCTTGACCGTTTTCTTGAGAGCTGCATACAGGGCTTATGAATGTAACATATACATACATTGAAGCATTTGATAGAGCTCGTTTGTTGGGAGAATGTCATAATCCAAAAAATTGATCTGTCTACTTTTCAGACAATTATGTATGTACGTACGTATAAAAAGTGACCCAAATAAAAGTTTGATGAAAGCTTTATCCTTTGAACTAAATTTTACAAAAACAATTCTTACATGGTTTTAATTATTATTCTATTTTATTAAATGCAAAAAAAAAACAACTAATGAAGAGCATTACTACGCCTGGACCGCGCTAAGGTGGACCGCGTTGGGGTGAGCTAAGGTGAAATGTAGTGTGGTGAGATAAGGTGAGATAGGGTGAGTTCCGGTGCATTGAGGTGAAATAAAGGGAGGTGAAATAAAGTGGGAGGTCCCATACGAATTTGGTTTAGATCCGATTATTGGATCATGTGAAGATCATCATTAACGGTAATCTTAAAGTTTTACATGAGAATTGAAGTGGGTTTTGTCTTGTGATAAAAAATTACACACTTGTTTATTTCAGCAATAGTCTTCGCGAGTCTTCTGAAAATCGATAAATTGTTTAAGTGATGATTTCATTTTGGTTTTTTCTACAAAACCTCTGTGAACGCTAAGCATACCTAATCCTAAAGTATAAACTAAGAGAAAATATTAAAAGATAATAATTACTTTACCTTTTTTTTAAAGTAAATGACTGTTTATCAGACTAACAGAAGTAAGCTAAAAATTACGTTCACAATTGATAAAATTATTGAGGCACAACCTGCAGTTTACCAAAACTGCCGTAATGGATGTGAAGACACCCAAAGTTTTAATTTATTGCTTACATTTTTTGAACTGGAAATTGGTTATGAGTTCGTAGAAAGAAACTTACAATAAATCTTTGTTTCCGCAAGGGTTGCAGAATGTCGATTTTTCGTTTTTTGTAACGGAGCTAGGAATTACGAATGACGAAAATTCGTGTTCCCACATTTCTTCGGTTCACTATAGGGGTATTGTATTCACGATCCGGTGCATACTGTCTAGCATGGTGCATATATAGCATGATTGACTAATTTTGTTGTTGTTTGAACACATGAAACCAGCTGTCGATAAAAACAACTTTAAGTGATACTAGAATTGGATATAAAAGGAGAATGACTGGAGCTTTTTAATCGTTTTATCGTTTTATGCTAATATGTATATAAACATGCAACACATACAGTGACGAGCAAAACTGTAACATGATGTAACAATTTTTATTTCAGCCACCGCTATCTTTCATAGTTCTAACGACTTTCATACTTTTGTTGTATATTCTTATTGGTACACTCCTACTCCCGCTCTCATAACGATTTGAGGTCAATCCAACAACAATAAAAAAACCTGGAGACAAAAATGTAAGTTAAGGCAAATGTTACAGTTTTGCACTCACTCTCAGTTTTGCATTTTACAGTTATCTTTTGCTTATTTGGAAGTCAGATGACTTTTTTCTGTATTGTAATTTATTCAAGAAGTGATCACCAATAAATAATATGGTTAATCAGGAAACATAAATGTAAATAATAGATTTACTGCGAAAAGGCGGGACCGCAGGGAAAGTGGCAAAAAATTGTGGAGTTTGCCACATGAAAATGTTAAGACTGAGAAAAAATATAGCCTAAAGTGTTACTAAGGACAAAGAAAGTCTGTCAAAATATATTACAGTCCGATATCTTGTGAACTTAGTAGCAAGTAGCGCTGCAGGCACTACTACAGAAGCGCTTAAGGTATTAAAATTGAATGCAAATCAGTAGATAGTGAGGCGAAAAATTGCCAAATTGAGCAAAATGGATCATAAAAGAAGAAAAAAGCAAATTTGATCAAAATACATGTGCGAGTGTGGCAGCGTTTTGCTGCATCGCACGAAAACCGGACCGTTGCCTATTGGGATATGTTAGGCCTTACAGAATGCAATAAAAAACACATTTTTAAGATTTAATTGAGGGTTATTTGGTCTGACAAGACTAAATTAATAGCTTTCAATCAGATGGCCGGGCATGGTATTGGATCAAAGGCCCAAATTAAGCCTAAGCGCATCATGTAAGGCAAACTGTGAATCACAGTGGTCGGTCAATAATAGTTTGGGGTTGTATTTCAAAAATGTTGTTGATCCGTTTGTACGCATTATGCGTAAGGAACAGTATCTGTTCATATTTTAACAAAATTTGCAAGATGTAGTCGAAAAAATTAGAGTTTCTGCTGAAAAAGCAACCAAAACACACTGCACATGTTCGCAAAGACTGGAACAAAAGCAGAAAATTGCTAATTTGAAATGACCTCCACAATCCGAGGACATGAATCTCATCGAGAATTTGCGAAATCAACTAAAAGCGCATCTTACTAAGTATCCAAGTCCGTCCAATGGAGTACATGAGCGGTGAAAGCACACCAAGGATATATGGGAGGCTATACCTCCAGAATTTTTACAGACATACACATTAGGTATGCCAAATTGCAACCAGGAACTAAATAAAGCAAAAGCATACTGAACATTGTGTTAATAATTCTTTTTTTTTGTGAAAATTGTCAAAAAGTTATTAAAAATATATGAGTGCAAAACTGTAACATATGCCTTAATTTACATTTTTGTCTGCTGGTTTTGTAAATGTTGTTGAATTGACTTCAAATCGTTATGACAGAGGAAGCAAAGATGTACCAATAAAAATATACAACAACCGTATGAATGTCGTTAAAACTTGGAAAGATAGCGACAGCTGAAATAAAAAGTGTTACTCCATGTTACAGTTTTGCTCGTCACTGTAGATATGTAGATACTTGTGTGTACATATCTAATTAGCTACTCGTAGCTCAGTCTAAACGCATAGATCATTTGCTGCGATTGCAGTTATGCTTTCCTGCTCATCCACGGATCTAATGTATTTAGAAATACAGAAAATGTTTATGCATGTATGTATGTATGTATGTATATAAAAATACATGCCATTTTCTATACCGAACATTCTTCTTCAAAAAAATCGTGTTTCCTAATTTACGATTTGCACTAAAATTAAATAATGAAACCAGAAATTATGCAATACCTTAGTTGGTAAAATTAGAGAAGTAGTAAGTATGAGGAGATGAAGCACAATACGTAATTAGAAAGAATAAGAATGTTAACTGTGATCAAGGCAAACTTGCGTTTCCCAGCCGGCAAAGTGAATAGCGCCTTTAAAAACACGGTCTCTATAACTAATACCCTTGTTTATTAGAATTTTGCCGACTTGTTGCTTTTTACAAATGGAGTCAGTAATTTTTTGCTGCATTTTGACTTTTAAAGAATTTATTTGTTTTTATGTATGAAGCATGGTTCTGGTTGCAGACGTCTACGCCAAAAGAATTCCTTTGTTTCCGGTGAGAGCAGCTCAAGACTTCCAGTGTTCACACTAAGTATACTCTGGGTATCAACCAAATATCCGCTTGAAAGCGGGTTAACTACGAGAAAGCGAAACCCGAGTAATGGATTGTGCGCTGGGCTTGGGACCCTTCAAGACCAAGGCGCACTCATGTAAGAGCAACAATGACGACCAAGTGATCTTCTAAGCAGAGGCTATAAGGTCTTATCGAGCGAATTGTGTGAAGTGTAGAATCCCAACCGTAAACGAACTGATTGGGCTTTATCAGTGCGGCTTTAGACCTGTTAAATCGTTCATAGGCTAGGTATTCACCATACGCCAAATTTTGGAAAAGACTCGCAAGAATCGAATTGATATGGTGCTTACCATAAATATATATGGGCCAATTTCAAAGCCGCTTTCGATGGTACGAAAACAAGTTGGTTTTAATGTCAGTATGCCTGACATTGGTAACATCGCGAAACTGATACGGATGTGTGAAAGGACGTTGAGCAATACCACAAGCTCCCTCCGAGCGAGAG